AGTATGCTGTATTTTTTTTTTTTTTTTTTTTTTTTTTTTCATAAAAACTATCTCACTGTATATACCGACGGTCTTTAACCATGTTTTCCGCTCTGGTATCCTTGGAACCTTTATTTCTCCACGTTAGATTTTTCTCTTCCCTTGTCGTGATTTACCGCGTTCTTTGCATTCTCCTCTTATTCCTCTCTCTTTCTCTCTCGCTCGGTTATATACAACTTATCCTCGTCTAAGGATGAACTCTTTGACAGAATACATACAGGCTAAACACCAGTCTATCAGAAGTACCCACCTCGTTAATACGTCCCATGTGACGCAGCCACGATATTCTTTTTCGTGTGTCGTTCAAAGCTGGCTCATTGAAACGCATAATGGCGAAGAGCCTTTAATATTTTTTCCTGACGAGGGCGAAACGTTGGAAAACAATAAAAATCTCGCGAGCAGGCTGTTCGAGAAGTGTGCCGATGTAATTGAGGAAGGATAAGGGTATTTTTGATTTCCTCATTTCACTACGTGCCAGCCCTCTTCGTGTTCCGTCACAACGAAATCCTTCAAGCCCGCGGATAAATGAAAGCCACGATAATATTTCCGAGGAAATCGTAATACCATTATTAATACCTTTTCGATAGCGTGAATTAATATTAGCGTTAATTCCCATATTACACGCGAAGCGGACTACGCACGTCCGCGTCTCCGAGGGCTCATTGAATGTTGGGCAGGCGACTTTAACCGTTGCTTTGCACGTAAAAATTTCATCAATTATATCTGATATCTATGAACGCGACACGCGATCTCGCACCCCTCGCGATACAGTCGCTCGTTAATGTATAATTATTCGTAGTCGAGCGTATTACGTACATCCAGCAAAAGTACATGCTATACGGGTGAAAAAGGCCTTTAATTCGACGGACTGAACTGTCTGGGATGTTACCGGGGTTCAATGAGGTCATGCGAAAAAAAAAGGGCAACGCCGTAGCCAAAGAGGGGGAAAAAAGAAGAGAAAGGAAAAAAAAAAGAGAGACACTCTTCCGTGCCACCTACGAAACCAACGAGCTTTGTGGTGCTTTCAAGTGTTTCATTTGGGTAGGTGGTAACGATTTTTACGAATGGTCCGACTACGCGCAACGCTTTGCTTTTCGGCATTGCCGCTGTACGTCGCTGCCTCCGCGCCATAACGTCACGCTGAGTTCTGGCAATGTCCGAGGGAGTACACGCCGATGCTTGACGATTGGATCGTGCCCTCGATGCCGTTTTAAATATCGGAAAACAGTGCTCGCGAAATAGCGCGAGCTCATCCATTAAGCCCTGGATGCTACGTGGACGCGACAAACGGACGTTCGAAACGACACTGGTGCTATAGCCGTGTCCATGGCAACGTATAGGTATACGGCTGATACGAGCAGCACATAGATGGCAAACTACGAGACTTTTACCTGGCAACGAAATCGCTCGAGAATCGTCAACATGCGAACTGGTCGCATAGCGTTATCATCGCATCTGTTGCGCGCGAAATGCGTCCCATCGACGTGAAATTTCCACCGAAGAAAATTACCGGATCCGCTCGAACGTAAAATTCAATCTGCCTTCCCTGCCATTTGCAAATTAGGCGGAACCCCTGATTACTATTCGCGCAAGTGCGCGTGGCAACGAGAGTGAGAGAGACGGAGGGAGGAAGGATCGAACAAGGGTAAGAGAGTCGCCGGAGGGAGATAATGGGTATGAGAGTGAGAGAGCGAGCGAGATAGATGGGAAGGGAGATAGGGAAGTAAGGGAAGTAAGGGAAGATTGCAGGAGGCGAAAATTACGGAATTCAGATCAGCCTTCTTGGCTGAGTTACTCTTGCCGAATGGAAATACTTTGAGAAATGCGTCTTAACGGTTATTCGAAAGAAACATTTTCATTCGTAATTGCCGCGCGTTGGCTCGAGTCATGCCGATGATCTTCGTCTTCCAGATGGCACCACTGTAATGAGACGAGTCGGTCGAGATCAGCAGTTCGGGCCATTCATAAAG